TCAGGTTGATTTAAGTAAATTACGTTATGTTTATATCTATTAAGTCGATGCTTATTTTATCAATAAAGTTGATCGAGATCAAAAATTAGCTCATCGACGAGTAAAGTTCTTCAGAAAAGAAAAATTTAATAAATAAATAAATAATTATATTTAATAGGTTGTTGAATATTTCGAAAATAAAGATAAAGTTCATGTAACACGTTTACGTTTAAATCGTCTTCGTTATGCCGTTTCTCTTTGGTCAGCAATGATGGTTGATGGTCAAATGTCAACACGTGATTTTTCTTTGACACTTTGTAATCGTACATCATATCTAAATGGTTATCATGAATTATTACGAAAATTTTTATTTCGTTCAACACATACATTACCAGCTATAGGTCTCGTTATATTAGAAGCAATACCAAATAAATATAATGAATATTTTCATAAATTAGCACATAAATTTTATGATGAAATTCAAGTATTATTAGGTAATAATGGAATATTATTTTTTCCAACATTTCCTCAATCAGCACCTGTACATGGTTGGCCCGTTTTAATGAATACATTTGATTATATTTATTGTGGAATTATAAATGCATTAGGTTTACCATCAACACAATGTCCATTAGGTTTAGATAGTCAACAATTACCATTAGGTATTCAATGTATTGCTGCTCGTGGTCACGATCAATTAACATTAACTGTTGCACAAGAAATTGAACAAGCCATGGGTGGTTGGGTACCACCGAGTCTTGTTGCTTTAGTTTAAATCAAAAGGACAATTTTTTTTTTCTTGACATTCCACTACATCAAATTTTTGGTGCTTCTACACGACGTGCACCGCTCGTAATGACAACAATGATAGAACAGAAAAAAAAGATAATTGGTGCATCGCTTTATCCATTAAACGTAAGAGACTTAGATGTCGTCATTATATGAAAGAAATAAAATATGTCATTTTTTAATTTAATCAAAATAAAATCAATAAAATGATTTATGAAGTGCTAATTTGATCAATAAATGAAATTATTTCTCAGACTATAAAAGAGCATAACTTAAGCAAAGAAAATATAAAATATATAACAATGGCTTATACACCTCTTCCTGCAATTGACGATTTTTCCAATCGAGAATGGCACGAATGTACACGTAATATCGAGAATACCATTGCTTTTTGTCAGTTTTTAGGGTTGATCGCAGTCAATCCAAAATCGCCATGTAGTAAAGGTCATCAGAATTGGTATTTAGGTGCAACTAATCGATATACAGATAAATACTGTTGGCGCTGTCGAACTTGTCGATGTAATCGTTCAATTCGCAACGGAACTTTTTTTTCTCAATCGAAACTTGAATTGAACCAAATTTTGGACTTAATGTTCTACTGGTCTCAATCAGTTGACAGCCACGAGTACTTGCGTCGTCATTGTCGTTTTGCCAGCGAAAGTACAATAGTCGACTGAAAGAGCATGCCTCGAGAAATCTGTACGTTGTATTTTTTGAAGTTTCCTTCTGTTATAGGCGGACCTGGTCATATCGTCGAGATTGACGAAAGTGCCTGGACGAAAAGGAAACACAATAAAGGACGAGAAGTCTCTAATCAATGGGTCTTTGGAGGTATAGATAGAGAGACAAAAGATTGTTTTGCTGTTTTAGTAGATGACCGCAAAGCCACTACTCTTCTACCGATCATCGAAAAATATATTCTGCCCGGAACTACGATATTCAGCGACCAATGGAAGGCCTATAACAGAATCTCTCGTTTGCCACATAATTATGAGCACGACACTGTAAATCATTCTCGAAATTTTGTCAACTCTGAAACTGATGCTCACACACAGAATGTCGAAAACATGTGGATGTGCGCAAAAATGAAGAAAAAAAGTGATATGGGTCAGCACATAACTCATTTACAAACACATTTGACTGAATTCATGTGGCGAAAAAAATTTGGCGATCGACCTCTCGAAAATCTCATTCGACATATAAGGCTTTGGTATCCTCTTGTTTAATTACTTGCTTTGTTTTTATAAGTTCTGCTCTTTATTTATTCTCTTAATATCTGCTCTTCTCTTGTCTCTTTTTCTTGAATAAATTTTTTTTTCTACTTGCTCATTACGACATCTAATAGTCTCTTACGTTTAATGGATAAAGCGATGCACCAATTATCTTTTTTTTTGTTCTATCATTGTGGTTGAGATAAGCTACATTTACACGCTACATACAATAGTGAATGTAGCTTATTCTTACTGGTTTAAACCAATCAGATCCTGTTCCATGTTATACCTTTTTTTCTTCTGTTCTGTTGTATTTCATGAACTAGCTAAAACAATCATAGTGCATGAACTTCCATTCACAAATATTTATCATATCATAAAAATATAAAACAAAACTCAAATGGTTTAAAATCAATAGGAATACACACGCTATTGTATAATGAACTGATGGCAAATTCTGTAGTGTCAGCTGATAGTATGAATTAGATTCAAGTAAAAACATTTGATAGATGCACTTTCCAAAAATGACCTAACAGTTTTCAAATTGTTAAAACATTTTGATTTTCGTTCATATAGCTAAATTCATTTCTGTTTTGTATGAAAACTCCTGATTTGGAAAGGAAAAAACTGTTTGAGTATTCGTTTAATCATTATAATCAATTGTATTTTTATTTCATTTTCATAAATTAGATAAAATAGCATCAGCATTCTGAATGAAAATAAAAATTGTAGTGAGATCCTACCCTTATTTCAGCAGTAAAGTGAAATGTTGCACTCTGTTTCAGGAACGAAAGTGTGGCTAACTTCAAATATTTAAATATATGTGGATAAACGAAATAGTTCACATTTCGTATTGTAGACTTCTATGTTCATGTATATGTGTAGTAGAAATTAAAATATAGTAGAATTTTAAATTCTACTAAATTTTAATTTCTACCACGACATATGCATACAAATAATAATCAAAAATAATATGTAAATCTCAATTTATTTACAGAATTTACAAATAAAACAAGAAAAATACAAATACTAATCATGAATAAATTACAAAATTAATAAAATACTAAATTAGCAATGAACATAATCTGAACATCTGAACATTCATTTTAGTAGATCAAAGATAAATATAATTTTGAAATCATTTGCTTTTTACTATTACATGAATTTTCTGCGGATTGATCGAATGATGATCTGCTTGACTGAATTAAAAACTTTTCTGGAAATTTCTTTTGAAACTGTAGATAACTGTTCTTTATTTACTATCTAAAAGAGGAATAAGAAAAGACTATTTATGTGAATCAAAGAACATAATGAATAAGAAGATTGATTCTAAATATGAAACAAGAAATTTACATTGAAATATGAAATAAACTGAATAATGCCATAATAGGGTGCAGCAGATGTATTCATACTTTTTGAGTGAAGTGCAAAATAAAATGCAAAAAAAAGTGCGTGAACGCTCAATTTGATTTTGCTTCGTGTAATCCTCATTCGGAACGTAATACTTGTGCCTCATGCACCCTAAACATTAAAGCTTGTTGTTGACACTCGAAAGATCTGTCTTCATGATTGAGTTTGTTGCATCTAATATCTGTTAGAAAAAATTTATTCTTCGTCATATTTATGTAAATTTTTTTAAGATTTAAAAAAAAATATAAAAAAAAATAATAGTTGATGTTTAGTAAGTATGCAAATATTCATGAAAAATGTTTTTTTCAGTGGAGAAAAATGTCAAATGTCAGCTCCAAAATTCATTTTATTTGTTTGAAAGAAAAATAGTCTATGTTCATCAGTAAATTAAAGTGCTAAACATTAAACTGATTCTATCTTTTTGAATCAGTCTTTAGGTAAGCAGGATAGCCTAAACAGCTCTAGTTAATTGATTGTTTCTTGTAATTATTTGATTTACGTGTATCACATTTTGAATACTTTTTTTAATCTTTTATCTTTATAAGCAAAATTTAAGAATGAAATGTTTCAAATGCAAAGAAAGAAAGACAAGCTTCTTTATTTTAGTTATTTTTCAATGCTATACTTTTCTTCATATTCATATCAATACAAGCTACATGTCTAACACGTGTCACATCTAGTTTTCTATGTTAAAAATAAAAACGAAAACATATAAAGTGAATGCTTATCATATAGTTCGAGTGCATTTGATCGGCCTCAGATCAATTTACCAGCTGAAAGATGAAAATAATTATCCATCAAATGAGATATGATATACTTCAGAAAAAAAATGGAATCTTTTTTTAGAAAAACTTCATGTTTAGAAAAATTCACGTGCTAAGATATGTTTTCATTTTATCAATGCCAATATGAAGTGAAAAGATTTGATGTTTGTATTGTTCTTATTAATATATGTGGTTTCTCTGTTTTGTTCATATTAATAAAACTGCTTGAGCTGAAAACCTTTAATAATTTCGAATTCTTTCGTTCTTTGGTGTCGTCATTATCAACACAAATAATAAAATCTCAGGGCTACTCACCGAATACGAAGATCTGCATGATTCTATCAGAATATAAAATATTCAGCAATTGTTTTTTCTAAAAAGATGTATTTAATAAAATTACACCTTAACCATAATTGACAGGTTTTATTTTATAAAATAAAATCTCTTAAAACTGATAGACTTTTTTTCGAAATTTATTGGTGAGTGCTCACATTAATTTCGTTGTCACGTAGTCCATGTAATAACAAAAATTGAAAATGTCTGAATGTATATATTGAATACGATAAAAAGGATTGAAAAAACATTCCAAATAACTGTTCAACAGATGGATATACTAAATAAAAGTGTCTATTCTAGAGAAATGGAAAAGAAAGCCCATTTTAGATGGTTAATTATTAAGAACGATATCGTTTATATCTATCAAACATTTTTGTCGATTAATACAAAGATAAACCAAAAAGTAGATTTTCAAAAGATGAAACGATATCCATCTCGTTTGTCATTCACGTAGAGAATTAGTCAAAGTCATTTCTTTTGTTAATATTTCTATTCTTGTTTTCTAAAATTATGAAATATGTTCATGTCTTGCTTTACTCCAACTTATAATCTAACTTTTTTAAAAACAATAATTTGTTACATAGCATTAGACAAAAGGCAGCAAGAATCATTCGTACATCGCTACAGACACGTGTTGCTATGCATCTTTTTTTGTTGTCTAGCTTCATCTCTTCTATTATCATGTTTTTCGTTCAAATTGTTATTTTTATAGGGTGTCTAATAAGTTTTGTTCGTATTTAGTTTGTATGCTTCTCTTGTATTTTTTTGAGTAGAATGAGCTGATATTCAGTATCTAAATTAGACGTCTTGAACTTTACTCTACATGGAACAACTTGAGTATTCTAGTTCTGATAAGAAATTGAATACAAGTGATAGAAAATATCATAGCAAATTTTTGAATTTTTATGAGGATTTTTCCGTTATTTAATTAGATATAGTGAATAAAACAGATTGTTTTGAAAAAGATTAAGAATGTGATTTCTTTAAATATATTTTAAAAAAATTGTCAGTCAAAATTTATTTGCTCTCCATCTTGATTTATCTCTAGTTTCAATCGATTTCGTTATTTTTCTTCTCTGGGTCACATTTTCTAGTGATAAACATTTTCATGCTGGCACTACATGATTTTCTAATTTTAATTCTTTTTTTGAATATTTTTCCTCTTGATTGTTCCTTTATTACGTCGTAAACCTTCTTGATTGTTCAAGTATCAGCAAGGTTTTCGTGAATTACTTCAGAATTAATACTCTTATCAAAGAAAAGTTAAATAAATAAAAGATGTTTCTCAATGTTTCGTTATCTTCATCATCTTGAAAAGTCAGTGGCAATCCAGTATTTTTCGAGAATGATAAACATAAGAAAAATACTATAACAAATATCTTGAGAATAATTTCAAAGAGGTACGATGGCAGCCTACGTTTATGAATTTCTTAGTTGCAACTGTCTTCATTCAAGATTTATTTTTAAATGTTTTGAAATATTTGCTCTTAACTACTGCAATAGAATTCTAATAAAAACTTCGAATTTATATTAGGACAGAAGACAACATTTCATTTGTAAAACAATATTGCATTAATTCAATCGATCATCTTAATTAGATTTCAAATGGAAAGGCTTTTGTCTCAAAAATAGTTGAAACGCTTCACCACAAGATAATCTACTATGCCGTTATTTATTTTAGATAAAAGGTAATGAACTTTTCTTCAAAGAATCCAAGTCAATGGTCGTCAGACGACGACGATGTAGATTCAATGAATAAAGAAATTACGGATGCTGATATTGAAGAATTAGAAAATATGTTATCATTCAAGAAGGTTCCGTCAACTAATCGTGATACATGTATTTTTAAAGCTGCACAAGATATTTTACAAAATTCTATAAGTATTATATCTATGTTATCTCTTGAATCAACCATTAAACTGGATGCTGCAAATTATCTTGTAGAAGATTGTTTACTCATATTTAAAGAAAATCTATTTAAAGATGAAGACTTTATGGACACAGAAGGTTTTGTGAAATATGTACCTGAAGACTTAAATTTAGCCTTTTGTGGTCGTCTGGCACACTATAATATAACATTGGAATCATATTTAAATAGTATTATTATTCCTGATATTTGGAGAACTCGTTTGTCTGCAGACGGCATCATGTTTCTCTGTACTATGACTTTCTATAGAAAACTCTTAAATTTATCATGTTATGCATCATCAAATGAAGCCCCATTTCAAGTAGTCGATCATGACAATAATAAAGAGAAAAAAGAAAACTCATTAATTACATTTACACAGTTTTCAAGTCAACAATCATCAAACTGTTAGTATTTCAATGCTTGTTTTATAATTTCTTTATAAAATGCTAAAGAAAAGGAAAGATTGTAATGATCAGTTCTTTTTCTGAAATTTCTATCTGCAGTTAAATATGATTGATGGGATATAAGAGTATGTTCATCTGTAATAAGATGATTTTTGTTGTTGAATAATCATATTCAACTGCTTTGATTATTCGTCATTTCAAACACAAAAAATAAATATATATCCGTCTATTGCTTTTTTTTCTTTTGTTTAGTAAACCAATCTGATGAGCAAACAAAAATTTTTTATTCTCGTTCATCAAATCATATGAAATTCATTGACTATTCAAGTCGGTCAATTCAATGTGCTCTTATTCATTGCTTATATTCCTTCTCTTTTTTGTACTTGTTTTAGAGTGTCAGATTTATAAACTTCATCATATTACTGATAATTCGAATTTTGTTAACAATAATATTGACAGTATTACAAACTCAAAGCATGGATGTAGAAATAATTCAAATCATCCGTATGATAATCAACCGATTCAGTCCATGTCAAACATAAAAAACCATGTTAAAAATGGTGAATCTGATTTACTATTGCACTTAAATCATCTAAATATATTTCTTGAAGATGTTTTTATGGACTACAGTAAGCTACGTACTCATGTCATTGGTTTGAGTAATCCAGGGAATAACTCATGTTATATCAATGCCGCTCTTCAGTGTTTCGGTAGCACACCTCCTCTATGTGCTTGGTTATCTCAACACAATACTTTAACTACGTGTATGTTTAATTGTTTTTTCACTTGATTATTCTCTTAAAGTATTCGAGAAAAAGTAGAATCTGAGGAGAGCGTTTTTTTTAGTCTTTGTAAATATATATATGAATATATCTTTCTAATTATATAGTTATACGCCTTGAGCATACTATTAGTTTTCTTTGAACATATTGACGGAGTTTGTTTTATTCTTTGAATAGCAAGTAGAACAAATATTGACTTTCAATAATTCCTGAGCTTCCAAATTTATGAAGACTAAAGTAAAAATTATCTATAGCATTGTGTACCCTATATGAATATTGTAGATAATGACTCATTATTGGCAGAATGGCGTGAACTACATAAAATTTTGAGCAAGATTTTTGTTAGAAGTTTTTGAAAAAATTTTGAAATAGCCAGTGATTGAATAAAATGAAATATAATTGTTTTTTTTTCCTACTTTATTTCCTAAAATTTCTTCAGAACGCTGTACTATAATTGGATTTAGAATCTATTTAGTGTTCTTATCGTTCTAAAATGGTTTCTATATTTCTAGGTGAATTGTCGAGAAAAGAAAACTTCTGTTCTGTATGTGAACTGGCCAAGGTCATATCTTCGATTTCTTCATCTTCAAAAAAAAATATCAACAGCGAAGAACAATGTTTTGTTGCTTCTGCTGATGTTATAAGAACAAATGTTCATAGATTATCACCTACATTTAAAATTGGAGAACAAGAAGATGCTAGTCTTTTTATCATTAGTTTGTTAGATCATTGTGCTAAATGCTTATGTTCTGATGCATCAACTAGTTCTACTGTTACACTATCTCAAACGATCATCGATCAAATGTTCAGTATTAAAATTTTATCAACAATTGAATGTTTATCGTGTTTCAATATTTTTACCAAAGAAGAATTAACATATATGTTGTCTATTGAAATTAACAATATCAATTATTTAAATAAAGCACTTGAACATTTCATTAATCCAGAAATTATGACAGGCGAAAATGCTTATTTTTGTCCCCGTTGTGAACATCTTGTTACAGCAAAAAAGCAACTTATTCTTGATGAATTATCACCAGTATTAATTCTCAATCTCAAAAGGAGTATTATGCTTGATGATACAACAGAAAAATTATCGCATCATGTTCGTTACAATGAATTATTAGATTTTTCTCCATATACAACTCATCGACAATTTGATTCAAATAAGGAAAATAATGAATCTGATAATGTTTCGTATAAATTATATGGTGTTGTTAATCATTATGGTGACAGTCTAGAATGTGGACATTATTGGTCATATATTCGAACTTCAGATGACAATTGGTTTATTGCTGATGATGCATATTGTCGACGTGTACCACTAAACGAAGTATTCGATAATCCAAATGCGTACGTTTTATTCTATGTTAAAGCATCATGTGAAGTGACAAAGTCTAGTACAGCATCTCAACAGCAACCATTGCAATCATCATTAACAGAAAACAAAATACTTTTTCAACCTTTGTCTACATTTGACCGTTCAGTACGAATAATTTTTTTACCTCTTCAACATATTGCTACTCAATATTTTTTTAGACTATTTCAAATACATCTTCCAGATCAGCTCAATCAATCATTTTTCAAGATGAAAAATCTTCAGATGAAAAACTTTCTAGTGAAACGGAAAAAACAGCAATCACAAAAAAAAGTTAATTCATTTATACTACATTTAGCTATTTTATTTTTTTATGCTGATTCTTTTAGATGAATATCAACATGAACTCAAATCAAAATTAAATAATCGTTTATGTGATTTCGATGAAAATAATGTCGATTCAGGTGAAAAACCTATAGAAGAACGAACAGAAAGTACCATCACAATCTGTAATGAATTTCCAAACAAATTATCCAAAGAACAAACAATACATATTGGTCGTATATTTAGTAATGGTATGGCTCATGGTTCTTCCTAATTGAGTTTGTTCTATTGATCTTGTAGTACTTTTTTTAGAACCAGCACGTAAATCAACATCTTACAAGTTTTCTCCTCTATTCAACGAATCTGATGAATCGACGGTCAATATGTTGGATTATATTGATTCACAAAAAGGTTCTTTTCTTGAATAATGATAGATGAATATTATCGAAATAGAGGTTTAAGTCTGAGAAAACCATCTTCAAAGTATGAGTGTAAGTTATAAGATTATCTACTATTAAGTAGATACTTATGTGAACTAGGTTGATAATTGATAAGAGACTACAAAACTTCAATCAAAGAAAGTATAAGTATTTTAGATGTTAAAACATTGTTTGCATTTTATTATATGACGAATAGAGAATTCATGAAACTGATTAGATCTATTGAATCATTACAAAATGTGTGGGTTCTCCGAAACAAACTCTTATTGCTTCGCAATGTAAATGTGGATCTTTTTTTAAATACTTATCATAAATGATGCTTATATGATTTGAAAGAAGAACGAAATCAGATAGAAAGCCATATTCTGAAGGAATTATAAATGTTTGAAGATAATGACTGATACTTTATATGAAGAGTGTTGTGGTTATTATTTCCTCATTCTGCTTCTTATGCTTAGTTACTTATCTCTTTCACTATTTAGACGTTACTAAAAGTCTGGCAACTGTAGCATCAGGTGTACCAATCGATGAAGTATTTGAAGCTACACTTCCACAACTGTACGATTTTCGCTTAAATCCAAATCAACTGATTAAAATGTCTCAAATTAGGAAGGAAGAATATAAAAAAATAGGCGATCGTAAAATGAAACTATTAGGATTAATGGATGATTCTTCATCCACATCGTTAAAAAAGAAACTTTTAAAAAATACATCTGCATTAGTTTCAACCAACCAGATTAGCAATGATATGTACAACCGAAAGAAAAATGATAGTACAATCACTGCCAAAGTTAATATTGAATATCTTCATATATTATTACCTCATTTAAAGCGTTACAATGCCACTTGTGCCTTGTGCATCAGCACACGTTATTTTGGTAAAAATATGTCAAGATCAAGTGGTCTTCTTGTACGATGTACTCTTAAATGTAGTGGCAAGGTCTGTAAATTTAAATGCACTGTACGTGTTATGAATAATGGGTACTGCTTCCTTATTGCATTGAATCAAAAGGTTTTTCACCGTGTCAATGAACGAATTGGCCGTCCAATTCGTGGTTCTCAACGACGAGCGATTATGGATAAATTTAAAGCTGGAGGTTCGGTGTATCGAATACATGCTCAATATGATGAACAACGTACAATGCATGAAAGACAAGGTTTTAATTACGATACTACTGGAAAATCAAAAAAGATTTTTAAAAAAATCAAAGCTGAAGCTGATGCTGAAACTCTACTATCACCGAACGTTAATTTAGGAATCTTACAATTGCATGATAAATTAGCTGACGAAATAAATAATGAAGGTATAATTAAAGGTGCACTTCAAATCGTTCAATTTCGTCCATTTTGTATTGTTGCATTTACTGAAGCTTCAATTAGATTATATGATGCTATTGTAAGTTATCCAGATTCTGTCTTATCATGGGATGCTACTGGTGGTATTGTAAAAAACTGCTCAGCTAAACAATGTTTATATTATGAATTAACAATATCTCATCCAAACGTTGTTAATGAAGATAGTTTAGTACCATTAACATTCATGTTATCTGAATCTCAAACACTTTTTACTGTTACTCAATGGTTATTAACATTCAAGGAATGTCATAGGAAGGTAAATATGCTTTCTTTTTATTTATTATTTTATCAGATACAGCGGTGTCAGTTTAACTTTGCTTTAAAGTTAAATTGCAGAGGTAGAAGTTTACCAGTGCCTGTGAATGATCCTGTTACATAGCTTACGATTAGTTATGGATACTTTCATAAATGTTCATTCCTTTAAGAATTTTCAGAATAAATTTGTTTTATGAGAAAACGTTTTCTTTAACTTTAGAATTTCTCAAGTAAAACTTTAAAGTATGATTGCTTTTACTTTAACTTTTAAAGTTTAATGTTAAAGTATAACCGTTCGGCGCATCATTGAAATTTTGGTTTCTAACTCTTGGTTAATTAATATTTTGTAATTAATTAGGTATTTCCTCACAAAAAAGATGCATTTCCTACACCAGCAATAATCTTGTCAGATCGTGCACAAATATTTTTACAAGCTGCTTTACGTGTATTTAATGATGAAACTTATCAACAATTTCTTGCACGTGCTTACCGTATTGTTAATAATAAAGCTATTCGAAATGATCTATCAAAAACTAACATTCATGCATGCTTATCGCATTTCATGTTGGTAAGAAAATACTCTTTTTGAATTTGCTTTTTTATTGTATGGATTGCTGTATGTTGTAGGACATGCGTAAACGTGTCAATAGATATTTACCAGAAGATATTCGTGAAGTAGCGATGTGGTCTATCGCTCTACTAGTAAACACAAATACATGGCCAGAAATGAAACAAAATTGGCGTTTAATATGTCAAGTTTTTCTCAGTTATTCAACTGATGATAATATTAATTTCAAACAACATCATGCAACACTTCTTTCTCATATTAGTAAAATTACAGGTGATCCAAATTCATGTCGAGCCATTAGTCAATCCAAACAAATATTATCAAGTATAGATGATCCATATGAATTTGATAATAATAATAAAAATGATGATTATGACGACAATCATTTGCATACAAATGGAAAAACTAAAATTAGTAATAAAAAAAAACAATCAATTAGTTCTCGTTCGCATCCGTCCGTTACCAATAAATCAGTGAGTACAACTATAAAATCATATCGTTTTTGGATTAGTCGAAGAAAAGTGGAAGAGTAACTAAAAGTACTACAACATAGAGAAGTTGTTAGAACATAATTCGATAGAGAAGTCTATACGTATCAAATACAAATAATTAATATACGAGAAATTTCATTATAATATTTATTATTTAGTACTATCACTATACGAAGTGTGTATATATACTTACCTTGAAGCCATTTGTGAAGAAATTTTCGATTTATATTAGACAGTTAAGTGAAAGGTCATTTCTTTTTATTCATATTGGACATCTGCTATTGAACTTCGTAAAACTAATCTCAGAGAAATGAAAATTCGGTTTATTACTCAATAATATTGTTGGATAAAGATTTTTTGAACATTTGATGGGGATCTATTGATTTCAAAGAGAACACATGTTTATGGATAGGTTTTATACTAGTCAATATCAATAGAAATATGCAAAACTATCTATGGTACATCAACAGTTCTTCATTTATTTGATTAACTGAAAGGTAAAAAATGTGCCTCTAATAATAAAAGTGTAGAAATACATTACATATAGCTTATTAAGCTTTTGGATTTTTCGAAAGTTTTGTGTACTTTTAAGTACTACCTCAAACTATAATAATACTCTTTAATATTTTTAAAGCTAATATTTCTTTATTGAGTATCTTGTCTGCAATAAGACTTGAAGTAAGTAATAGTAAGTTCAACTTTTTCCTAGATTATTGACGAAGAGCTAGAATTAAATGAAGCAGATAGTCCATTCAAGGAAGAATTGCAAACTATTTATTATGAATGTGTTGAAGCCTATATTAAAAATTATGGTGATCTTTCGTCATCAGACAAAATAAGAAAAGGAATTCGACAATGGTTATCTTTTATAAACCAACGTTGCATTCCAACAATTCCGATTTGGTCGAATCTTTTGCTTGGTGAATATAATTGATGTTTAGTCTATGCTAAATTTACAATGAAATCTGTACTTTAGGAAATTTATCACGTCATGGTACATCTGCTATTCGTGCATTTGATAATCTACTTCTATCTACTCATGATCAAAGAACGAACGCTATATCAGAACGACGTATGTCAATTGTAAAGCGAACTCAACTTGGTAACGCTTGTTTTGTCAAATCGAAATAATTGCAATAAAATGTATTTCATTTCTCTTATAGGAACACAGACCCGAATTCGATCTGATATTGTAATTGAAATTCTAATTCATGACATGAAAAAAATGGTGGAAAAATTTTCCATATCTTTTATGGCTATAATGTTTGAAGATGTTAATAGTGAAACCAATTCTCCACGATTGAAAGGTGTTCAAGAACGTTGGAGACAATCTAATCGTCGTGGTCATGGTCATTATGCTAAAACTCCTGAAAGATCAACCATGAATAATTTAAAAAATGCCTTAATTATATCTTTATCGAATATTAATGAAGATCTTCTTGTACCACAGCTTTCTGTTCCGAATTGGCTTAATGCATCGATTGGGCTTTTATTATCTATTAAAAATGTTCGTGAAACACCTTCACCATCAACAATAAAAACTCCGTTACTTTTAGACATGATTCACTTCATTAAAAACTGGATATCTGCTTTAGATCGTCTTAGACCACCGAAAAAGACAACTGCTGAATTAACAAACTTATTGAATACTCAATTCCACATACCTGGCAATGTTTCAACTGATGTAACTGAACAATTATCGTTTATTATCCATAATATTCTTCTTCCAGTCATTGATCATTCATTACCAGTTAAAAAGACTTACCGTTGTGCATATTGCAAGCATACAGTTGATGTCAGATTTAATATAAAATATGTTGAAATTAGTATAGTTGAAAATCAATTTCGTTTTATGCAACAATTGGCAAATTATTTTACTGATAGCACATCTGATCATTTATGTGGTAAATGTAATATGTTGACGTCACGACAAATAAAGATTTCTGATTGTAAGAATATTTATAATATTTATTCTATTATACTATTATATATACATTATAGGTTCTCCAGTAATAATTTTGAAGATAAATGATACAAGTCGTACGTCCATCGTGTTTCTTCAACAGGTATTTAAAACGTTATTTATGAATAATCATTTCTATTGAAAAAATTTCTCTTCTTTAGCTTCATACAAATACGAAGGACTTAATTGATAATGATTCGAATTTGCAACATACACAAACGATCTCAAGTTCTGAACAGGTTAGCAAAGTTAAGCATGTAAACAAAAAAGTACTTTTTCTCTAAAATAACTAGAAAATTTATGACAAAGATTGACGTTTTCGTTATGTTTATCGTTATCATAAATAAAGCTACATGCTACTAGATTTTTAAAAACTTTTGCATCAAAAAATTTTACTTGGAGAAAAAAGTCTTGAAAAAGATAACTGTTACAACCTTCGTATTAGTTAATTAAAAAAATTTACATTCAGAGCAAGCGTTTAGCAAAGCCGAGTAGATAAAATTTTCAATATATGGTTCAGCTATTTCAGGTGAATATGTTCATTAGACCAGATAGTAACAACTTATTGTTCATATCTATGTTGAATTTTCTCATTAAACCTTCCATGTTAATTAGATTGTGCAATGCTGAAAAAATTGCATAGAGTATCTTTAATTTATCTTATTTCATATAATTGCAGCATCATCAAATATCAACTGTTTATAAACAAAAGCTGTTGCATATTCTTTATGTTATACAGTTTAAAACAAAAATAGTTTCACCATCATCGTACGTTCGATCCACTTTTATCGAAAGAGGAATAGTTCTGGTTGCCGTGAAACAGAAACCTGAGATATCTTTCTATTTAATCTTGTCAAATGAAATCAATTACTAATTTTTAAAATTTCCAATGGCTTTAGTTTTACTATGTATTGATATTAGTTTTACTATGTATTGATATTACAGATGTATAAATGAGTAGCCATAGATTTTTTGTGTATATTTTATCGTATGAAGTAAATCTAAAAATAAATGAATGACACAAATACGAATATGTAATATTTGATGAGTTTTGTCTTCATTTTCTTTCTTAGACAACAACAACTACGGCAGCTGCTTCTATTTTGCTTAGTCAACCAGTACCAGTACGTCTCATCGATAAATCTACAAACGTAAATAAAAAAAATTATTTTTTAGTCGAATGAAAATTCTTTCTTTTTTTCTTTATTAATTCTTAAATAGAAATCAACTGTTGGCTCTATTCGATCATTAACAATTACTCCAAAATAAACAATTAATCTCATACTCTCCAATGAACTCTTCTATCTGATAATTCGTTATTTTTATTTTAATATGACGCTTTGTTAAGTTTTTTTTTGTTTTATCAGCGACGTGTTTTATATATGATTTTCTAGAGCCTATAACTTTAGTTATTCATTTTTATCGTTATTGTTCTTTCTGTATTCATCTGCATATAAAGAATAAAGAAAAGCCATTTGTATCAAGAAAAACCCTATTCACTTGATCTTCAGAAGTAAGAATTTGAAGAAACATTCAAACAAAATAGACTAATGCAAAAAACTATCTTAGGCTTTTAAAAACATGGAGAATATGAAACACCGATTGTTTCTTGCTAACAACATATACCTTAATGAAGTATTCATACTCATACTGCAAATTTAATATAAAGTATCTATGGGCGTTACTTATCAACAAGACTAATTCTTTTTCTACAGTTCATTAACATTTATATGCAGCTGTATTATATTTCAGTGAATGCTCCACTACATATTCTTGAACTTCTACTTCCTAATGTTGTTAATATTCGAATCGTAATGTTTTATAAATTTCCACTGAAAATATGTTACGAAGTTCTAGTTTAATTCACAGATGTATGCGTCTTTTTTCCAAATATGGATACAAAAAAGCACAACTTTTATACTATTAATGAATTCGTTGTGAAGCAAAAGAAAATTTGGGAATTATATAAAGAACCAGCGACATCTGATGAATAACTGCATCTTCATAAAGGGAATGTACAACTTGTGTCAATGGCTTTTTCGTGTATGTAGCTGACAGTGTATGTAGATTATCTCAACCCAAATCATGAGCGTTAATGTATTTTGATTGGTCAATTTGAATCGATTATTTCTCGGTAGAAACACTTTTTTGGAAAAAACTAAAAGCACAGTTAGATAGAGAAAAGTTTTCTCTATCGACCAGTATGAATCAAAAGTTCGGCCCATTTTTTTTTGCGAGAAAACGTCGTACATAGCGCATTTGATATTGATTCGCTTAATACGCTATCTTTTTCTTTCTCTGTCGGTAGACTAGGAGAGGAATGAGTAAAAAAGATAAAAATAAAGGCATGTTAGGTAGTAGCGCTATCTGCTATCCACTACCTCTATTTTCTCTCTATTTCTCTCCATTGGTCACTCTACGTACTTATGTTTTGTTTACGTTATGTGTGACTAGAGATAGAGTAGTTATGTTTTGTTTTGGGTACTCCTGCACTTTAGTCACACCATCAATGATATATATAAACAGAACGAGAAAAAAAATCGATTGGTTAGCGCATAACCAGTAAATAAAAGGAAGAAAATAAAACGTATAGATGTCATCAAAGAACACTGTTTATAGATGTTTTATGAAATATATATCGCTCTATCAATTAAGATGAATTTTTTAATAAAATAATATAACTCTTTGATGTAATAGAAGCAAGATGAATAAAAAAGAGTCGAATATTGATAACGCATAAATTATAATTTCTATCAATAATAAAATAACAAGTGGATTTTTCAAAAGAAATTAAATTTGAGTTAAAAAAAAATATTCATATATAAATCTGGTGCTGTCACCGCACTTCTATCATACATTTCTCAGTTCTAATTTCCTATAAAATCGTATTACCAATGGATATTAATATAAATATCGAAGATATCGACAATATAAACACCAGAAAATTACATATGCTAACCTCAACAACAGATTTTTTTGTAGGCACGACCATTCATTCAGATGAATGGCGAGCGTATACAGGTTTAGGAAACAATTCCGATTTTACACATAAAACAGTTAACCACTCCCTTCATTTTGTTGATCCCGTAACTCATACCCACACCCAAAATATAGAAAACACCTGGATGCGTTTAAAACGTAAACAAAAAAAACAAAATGGAATTCAAAGATCCTTATTACCAACATATTTAGAAGAATTCGTTTGGCGCCAGGATTTCGGCGATAAACCGTTAAAAAATTTAATTTTACAAATTTTTGAAAATTATCCTCTTCAATAATTGTATTTTTTTTTCTTAATAAATGTCTTTCGTTCTTATCTGACATCTATGTTTTATTTTATTCCTTTTACTTGCTGGTTATGCGCTAACCAATCGATTTTCTTCTCGTTCTGTTCATATATATATCATTGACGGTGTGACGGGTTTGGTGTTAAAAGTCGAAACGGAAAATGTCGAAAGAGAAAATGTAAATAGGAAAAGATCGAAAATGTAGAAGTCGAAATAATATAATACGAATGAGGAAAATGTCGAATGCAAAATATCGAAAAGTTAGATATCAACAATGGTTTTTTTCTTTATTAATGTTAAATGAGAAGAATTTATTCAATTATGCGACAGAAGACAATAAAAAATGAAAAGATAAAATTTATACATGTTCATCTCATATTTTGTGTCCACCGATTAATAATCCCAACTTATCCAACAGCATCTTTGCACTAATTTCATTGCTGCTGAATCTTGTTTTGAGAGTTTCAAATCGGCGTTGAAACATTGTTGTCCGTGTTGATTGTTTGGAAGAGGATGCACCTGCATCAAGTTGAATTATTAAATGTTCACAACGAGCATTTTCACTCTGGATCAGCTGTATGAAAGTCCATAAATTCGGGTGTTTTTTCATAACACGTGTTCCAAATCGTCGATTGTAAGCTATTATGAAAGAAAAACATACATGGATTTTTTTAACTTGTAATTAAAAGTTTTTTAAAATTACCTTCACAAATATTATTTGTTCGATGATCAAGATCATAAAAATTCCACATTGACAACGGAACATTTCCATCTATCCATTGACGGTAAAAGTAAGTGAATAAATCATCCAATGATGGTGATGCAATGGAACGAATACGTTTAAATTCATATTCCACTTCAGAAACAGGCATTAAACATAAAGCCATTAATTGCTTGCACTGTTCACGTATTGAAGCATCTTGGGCATAATCGGTACCTAATCCCAGGCCCATAATTTTGCGATGAATACTTTGATTAAAGTGAAACATGCATCCCGTATGTGTTGCAGCTGGAAACTAGAACAAGGACAGAAAGATCGAGATTATGAGTTCCAATTTTAAGAAAAAATAAAAAACTTACTTCTTGTCGGATCACCAGGATCAAAGCTGCTTCAAAATCAGATATTATATGGCGGGGGTCGAATTGTTTGCTCATCACGGTTGCCTCTTGTTTTAATCGTTGAAATAATTCTGAATACGTTGCTGTTCGTCGATTTGGCATTAAACAGAACGCAACCGGCAAACATTTTTTAAACAAAGAATAATAAATTAATGAATTTTATAAAATATCAGGCACCTTACCCTGACCAAAATGATGAACGTGTATCAAGAAAACTTGCTCAAAGCCACCAGGAGCCACGTGAAACGTTCCATCAATAAATATTTCTTCACTATTGAATAAAAGATGAAGTTGTTGTTCAGTTGAATAGACGATCACGCGCTCCTTCCCACGTTTTAAAAAAAATCCATCAACAAAAAGTGTTTTTGTGATAATGTTTCTTGGTATGGTGCTGGAATTTCGAATACACAGGACGTTGGAATGACTGGCGTTGTTTTTCGTCTAGCTTTACTCATGTTGGAACCTAATAAACAAAAGAAAACAAATATGAGGATATGATTTACTTCTCTCTGTCAAGTTACATACGATATTCGATTACAGTTGGAAATTGTGCTGCAGTAGCTTCAGACAGTTTAGTATTTGCAATTTCCTGGTCGTAAATCTGTGTTAACGATGTTGTTTCAGTTAAAATACGATGTTTCATTTTCTCTTTCAATAATTTTGCTTCTATTAAATCTGGATTAACAACATGATTATGATCACCAGTAATCAATAAAAATTGATCATTCAAGTCGGTTTGAACGAACACCTTGCATTCACGTTCAATGCAAATCCAATATTTTTTTGAATGTGTTGTTTTATTGCATTTGAACAAATATTGATTCAATAACAGTAATGTTTTACCTTTATTGGATTTTAAAAATGAAATTGAACTTTGCATCGTTGAGGGCAAAGGACTGGATGGAATGTTGTTTGTTTTCATCATATTGGTATGCCGAATTTACGTTTAGAATAAAAATAAATAAATGGCTATAGACCATGAAAATGACGAGGTGTAAATAGTCTGGTTATAGATTAAATAGATACAGACCATGAGGACGACAAAATAAAAATAGACCGATGGTAGAATAAATAGCTATAGACGGTGAGGACGACGAGATTGAAATAGTCTGATCATAGAATAAATAGATCCAGACCCTGAAAATGACAAAATTAAAATAGACCGATGATAGAATAAATAGCTATAGACGGTGAAGACGGCGAGATTGGAATAGTCTGATAACGCCCAATAACAGTTGAAAAAAATAAAATCACGTACTATGCAGACATCTTTATTATTCTAAATTTTCTCTTCGATGTTCTCTTTGCAAAATTTTCCTTTCATATGTTTCTTTTTTTCGACGTTCTGCCTCAGTCTACATTTTCTATATTTTCCTTTCGACATTTTCCTTTTCTTTCTTTTTAGTTTATTGAATACTGCTTTCAATATTTGTCTGTTTTTTTTTCGACATTTTCCTATTCGATCTTTTTTTTTCTTTGTTTTCCGTCAATCCCGGTGTGACTAAAGTGCAGGAGTACCGACTAACAATTGGTGCCATGACCCGTCGTGATCCATTTCGACCACAATTCGTCGAACACGATAAGATTTTTTTTCCCTCTAGTCAAGTTGTTTTTTCCTAGTCCTCATCGTTTTCCATTTATTTACATGGTTTATCCTGGTTTAACTTTTGTCTTTATGTTATGATTCTGATCATTATACGTTTGCTTATTTTTTATAATATATATCGTGATATTATATTATGTATTTGGATATGATTATTCACATTTAATCATTCATCGTTATAACTAGTTCATATTATTTCAAGTTCTCTGTTAATCATATTGTTTAACGTCTGGTATTTTTATCTGCTATGGAAGCACTATCTTTGAAAATTTTGGCTAAAGAAACAATTAAAAGTCTTCTTAAATTTGGTGGTGCTCGTAATGAAGATGTTGTTACATGGTTACACGATGCTGAAGAAGTATTTGATCGAGCACAGCTTCGATCATCAAATAAATATATAGCTGTACAATACTATTTAACTCATACGGCTGAAAAATGGTTTCGATTGAACAAGTCATCTATTCCTGATTGGTCCACATTTAAACGTGAAATTATTAAAGCTTTTCAACCAACATGTCATCAAACATTCTTAAAAATGAAACAACGTTTACAATTACCTCACGAATCTGTTATGGAATATTATTCTGATAAAATTCAATTGTGTTTACAAGCTGATTCAAATATGAGTGCATCAATAATAATTCATGATTTAATTACAGGATTAACACAATCATTAATTCCTCATGTTATTCGTCGACATCCTTCTACACCTGCTGATTTCCTTGCTATTGCACAAGATGAAGAACATATACAATTTACTTTAAATGATTTATCACGTGCTTCAATAAATCCACCTGATAATTATCCAAACAATAATGATCCTATTGATCCATCAGTTATGGTCGTAACACAACACATTAATGCTGACAAACGTCCTCCACATTGTCAACAACCGTCCTTGTTTTCACCATCACGTGTTCATGATCAACATCAATTCACATTTAATAAAAAATTACAAGAAATCAAACCAGAACAAGTTATCTTACAGATACCTATTTCAAATTCAACAATATCACAAAAGGGTGTGGGTGTGTGTGGGTGGGTGTGGGTGTGGGTGTACCTATTCCCTTTACCTCCAGACCCACACCCACACCCACACCCACACACACCCCCCCACCCCCCCCC